TGTCCCATCCCATCCCCATCCCAGGACCTCCAGGACTCTCCTATTCCCATTCCCATTCCCGTTTCCATTCCAGGACCTCCGGGACTCTCCCATTCCCATTCCCATCCCAGGACCTCCGGGACTCTCCCATTCCCATTCCTATTCCCATTCCCATTCCCATCCCAGGACCTCCGGGACTCTCCCCTTCCCATCCCATCCCCCCTTTCCCGAGGGATTTGCAGCCACCCCAGGAATGTCCCAGGGGAGGAGGGGGAGGGTCCTGCCCCCCCTTTGTCCCTTTCCCGGTGTCCCCAACCCCTCCTCCTGCTCCCAGAGCTGTTCCCTGCCGTGGCTTTCCAAGGAAAACACCGGCCAGCTTTCCCAGCCGTTGGGAATTGCCCTTCCAGAGGGATTTGTCCCCCCCGGATTCCCGGCTCCGGACAATCCTCGGCTGTTCCAGCCCTTGGGAGGCCCCTCATCCCTTCCCTCCGGAGCTGAAATCCTCCCAGCTGGGATTTGGGATTTTCCTGCTCCCTCTCCAGGTGCTCCAGACCCCCCACACACCGTCCAAAAATTGGGATGTCGGTTCCCATTTAGCAGGAATTCCGAAAACCTCGGGGTGGGTTGGATTGGGAGGGACCTTAAGGGACCTCAAAGCTCCTCCCATCCCACCTTTCATCTTCCACCCTCCCAGATGGCCTTGGATGCTCCCAAGGGATGGGGAATCCTCTGGGAAATCCATTCCCACCCTCCCGGGCAGGAATTCCTTCCTAAAATCCAATCCAGAGCTCCCCAAAAAGCTGGAAAACCCCCTGTGTTTGTATTTATTGATCTTCCCCCGGGATTGGCCCTTCCCTGGATCCCATTCCCGGCCCATCCCGAGGCTCCAAAGCTCCTGGAGCTCCCTGGAGGTGCCACATTCCCACCCCGGGTCGGTTTGGGGACATTCCCGTGGCCTCTGGCACAGCCCATCCCAACATCCCGCAGGATTTTCCCTTCCCGGCTCCAGCCACTGCCGAGCAGCCCCTGGAATTCCCGGATTCCCGCCAGCATTCCCACATCCCTGTTCCCGCAGCTCCCCTTCCTTGGGGTCAGGGCTCTTCCAATAAAGTTCCGTCCCCCCAGATCCGTCGTGTCCTCGGTCCTTTCCCGGTTTCCCACCGCCTGGAGCGGGAATTCCTTCCCGGCAGGATTCACCCCAGGGCTCCGGATGAGCTCCGGCACCGGAGGAGGCTGGAATTGCTTCCCAAGGGAATTTTCGTGCCCCTGGGACCCCCATTCCCTCCAGCCCCTCATTCCAGAGGGGCCCTTTGGGATCACAGGGGTTTTTCCCTGGAGCTCCTGAGGGATTTTCCTGGGAGATTCCAACCACTCCAGGGATCCAAAGGTGCGGGAAGACCCAAATTTTGGGAAACCCTCTGCTCTTTGCTGCTCTCCTGGAGACCCTTGGAAAACTCATGGACAGTTTTCCCTTCCCAAACTCCTCCTACCCGTCTCCAAGGGGGAATTCCCACATCCCTGGGACCCCCATTCCCTCCAGCCCCTCATTCCCTTTGGGATCACAGGGGGTTTCCCTGGAGCTCCTGAGGAACTTTCCCGGGAGATCCCAACCATTCCAGCTTTCCCAGAGGTCCTGGAGGACCCAAATTTTGGGAAACCCTCTGCTTTTTCCTGCTCTCCCAGAGATACCTGGGAAGTTCAGGGACAGTTTTCACTTCCCAAACTCCTCCCGTCCCTCTCCAAGGGAGAATTCCCATGTCCTGGGACCCCCATTCCCTGCAGCCCCTCATTCCCTTTGGGATCACAGGGGGTTTCCCTGGAGCTCCTGAGGGATTTTCCCGGGAGATCCCAACCATTCCAGGTTTCCCAGAGGTCCTGGAGGACCCAAATTCGGGAGCAGCTCCCCGGGATGGGAGGCAGAGGATGGGAAGGACATTCCAAGCTCCGGTTGGGATGGGAAGGGGGGGCTCTGGGCAATTCCCGGTTGTTCCCGGAGCTGCCTCTGGAGGCAGGAACCTGCAGAGCCCTTGGAAAAGTCATTCCCAGCCGGAGGAACAAAGTCATTCCCAACTCTGTGAGGGGGGGAGGCCAGGGATGAATTCCTGGCTCTGGCAGGAACAGGAGCGGGAATACAGGGCTTGGAATTCCCTCCTGGAAAGGGACAAAAGGCTTGGAATTCCTTCCTGGAAAGGGAAACAGGGCTTGGAATTCCCTCCTGGAAAGGGCTTGGAATGCCCTCCTGGAAGGGGCTTGGAATTCCTTCCCAGAAAGGGATACAGGGCTTGGAATTCCTTCCCAGAAAGGGACATAGGGCCCTGAATTCCCCTCTGGAAAGGGCTCTGAATTCCTCCTGGAAAGGGACACAGGGCTTGGAATTCCCTCCTAGAAAGGGCTCTGAATTCCCTCCTGGGAAGGGCTTGGAATTCCTTCCTGGAAAGGGACACAGGGCTTTTGCTGTCTGGGATAAAACTGGGATGGGCAGGGAGGGTTGGGAGCCCCGGACATTCCAGCTGGGAGCACTGGAGCCCTGGCCATTCCAGCTGGGAACACCAGAGCCCTGGCCATTCCAACCGGGAACACCGGAGCCCCGGACATTCCAGCTGGGGGTTTCGAGGTGTCGCTCGTTCCCGACCAAAGCGGGAGCAGGGGCAGGGAAGCGGCTCCCGGATTCCCAACCCACATTCCCAACCCGCATTCCCAACCCGCGTTCCCAACCCGCGTTCCCAACCCGCATTCCAAGGATCCCGAGCTCCAGGAGCGGGCTCGGGGCGCCCCCTGGCGGGCAGGTGATGCCCGAGGTGGATATTCCGGGATCGTCTCCCGGGCCCGTTTCCAGGGATGGAAGTGGCTCG